ATGCCAAGCAACAGCTGACGCTACTAACCGATATGGTGCTGAAATGTGCTCAAATTTTGCTACAAATATAAAGAAATATAATAATATTCACGTGGCACATAACAAAGCTAGCTAACAATTACAAGACCCACATATAGCAATGATTTAATACGATCATAGCCCAAATATTCAGGCTCCCAGGTCAATCAGCTCACCGGCAAACAATATAGCCTTGTACATAGATCCCAACCACTCAAAACAAAGACAGATCGTGTCAAAAATAAAAGGGCGGATTTGTCAAATGTGACAGTGAATTCCTTCACAAGATGCTTGCTATAGGAGCCCTCAAATAACTGGAACAAAAGGAAAGACGGCTGTAGCAGCTGAATATTTGAATTGTGATGTGTAACAAGCAGTCAACCACGTGAGAAGAAGTGCTCCTTCATCAATGTTATAGTTGTGAACGTTTCTTGTTTTTGTGACAAACATCACGCAGCTACCTGGCAAGGACACCACACGCTTTATCTCGCTCTCATTCATACTCGTTCTTATAGCGGGCCACTAATTTATTGTTATCGTGTACATATTATCCACATATAATAACAACTGTGTACTCTTTGTTTAGTGCTTTAACAAGCATTATAGTTGGCATGTATCATGCTGAGCAGTGCAGTCTACCCTTAATAGCTACATTATAGGTTACAAGTTACCGGCCTTATTTCAAGTATTTAGTACACCTAAATAATTTCAATATCTTGGGGTGCGCCTAATCTTATATTACCCAAGATCAAAGAGAATAAGCAACTATCTCACTTAGTACAGTTCTCTTACACGCTCACATTATAATACAACTAGATGTTATTATGAAGGAGCAAGATGAGATTACTTCACATCTCATTAGACGATTACACGGGAGAGGATTCTAGAAGATGGGGCAGAGTATTGACAATACACACATCTCCACCAACTACTACACGTGCACACAATAACATACTCCACATATCCACTAATCATACTACACATGAGTATAATAACACACCACGTATAATACCACCCTTACTTAGCACATTATAACACTGCAACATTAACCTCCTACCACCATATTGAGCACAATATTGCAACACAGACGCCCACACAGCCCCCACACGGCCCCCACACAGCCCCCACACAGCCCCAACACAGCCCCCACACGGCATCAAGTACCTTACAGAGGTTCTGTCATTACACAACACGGTTACCTAATATTACTGCAGAGCATTACAACCCTCACAGATGCGGGGGGTGTGGTACAGTAATGACAATGTATCATTATAATAATACGTAAACACACCGAGACACACCACATCAAATGCCTTACAAATGTTAAGCAATGAACTTTTATATTTATCTTAGGATAGATAACATCTATAATAGGGAGAAAAACTAAAATTAAACTTTAATAAAGTATTATAAGAGTTTTTACAGCGATATAAAACTGATACGAAACTAATATAAAAGTACGGCACAAAACAAGAAAACTGTTTGTTAATATGAGCCAGCATTCGTGTTAGTAGCATTCGTGTGTACTAACCAACGAACGGTCCATCAATCAACAATCATTTATGCAAATTATAAAATTAGGCTATATACGAAAGAATTACGGTTACCGTTCATATTATGGGTGTGACATTATCATAATAATTGTACGTCAGATACAGATTATACTATTATAGGCTTGATATATACAGTGAGGCTGTGAGGCGTTAGCAATAACACACACGGTTACCATGACAACGTAATACAATGTAAAACTGGTCAGGATACTACACAGATAACGTTAAAGTACATAATATAATACGGAGTGAATATATCCTGTATAGAGAAGAAAAGGAGGAGTAAAGTCACGAGTACTGGTAAGATGAGAGGAGGAGATTAAGAGGAGTCATCACACAAGAACATGTGACGGGTTCAGCGGACCGTAACACTCAACACTGTAGCGGAGGAGAGGAGTTCACTAACCATCTATAGTAGTACAAATTGAGGGTAAATAGGAGGTAATTGGGGAGCAGCTTCCAAATAAGCAGTTAAACACAAATAACAACACACACCTGGAGTCACTATCAGAATGGGCGGGTCCAAAGTAGCACTCATTCGCCAAGGTCCCTCTAAAACCGGGGATCACACAACTCTACAACTCTACAACTCTACTGTACACTATCACTACACTAGAGGGGCACGGAAATAGAAAGCGGCTAAAGACAAGCGGAGGAGTATATTATAAAGGAGTATTATAAAGCAAGAGAGAGGGGGACAAGACAGGGGGAGTTGCGGCGACTAAGAAAAGTGATGTAAGGTACAATAGTGACATACAGGGTTACAATGTGTTATACAGGTAACAGTTGTAGTGAGCTGTTATACAGGAGGTATTATTGTTAATACATGTGGGGAACTCTTACAATAACAGCGGAACACTAAACCTGATCAACAATCACACTGAACACTACTATAGTATAGAGTACTACTACTATAATATAGAGTACTACTACTATAATATAGAGTACTACTACTATAATATAGAGTACTACTACTATAATATCATACTACTATAATATAGAGTACTACTTCTATAATATAGAGTACTACTACTATAATATCATACTACTATAATATAGAGTACTACTTCTATAATATAGAGTACTACTACTATAGTATCATACTACTACTATAATATAGAGTACTACTACTATCTTACTATATATAAAGCGAGACGATATATATATATATATATATCTGTGCCATTTTACTGACACCACGGCATCAACTTTAACGCGACTTTCCGCAAAAACCGTAAAAGATATACAACTGGAACTTTTTTGGCTGGGTCAAATGCTTTAATGGCCTTCAAATCAGCATGAAAAAATAAAAAATTGGCCAAGGAATAATGATTTTAGAGCCTAAAATTTGGACCCCCAAGTGGTGTCAAAAACGCCAATTAAATAGGTAATAATTATTTTAGTATTTTGAGTCTTGACACCGTTTAGGGTTATATTATACGGGTTCCTGCTAGTAACATAGAGTACTACTAGACTACTGTACTATACTACTTATCATAGAGATAACCAATAACCGTTTATTGATCATGAGGCGGTGTCTTACTCAAACAAGATGACAGTGGCTTCAAAACACAAAATGTAGACTACCAATCAGTGTGACAGCGGAGAATGAGCTTGTATCGTTACAAATGTAATGAATCATTAGTCGGTTTATTTTACCTGGTATTTATATGATTTATTAAATAGTCTGTAGACTTCATGTAAATATCATAGTTTTATACTTCAGCTACGTTAAACGTGCAGAGACTGTAAAGTGTATAAACTTAAGTAAAGCAGACTGTTTAGTCTAAACTACTGTCTACTCACCCACTGTTAATGACGTTGGTTGGTGACGGACGAATACGAGGCTAATTGAGTTGCTGAACTTAACGGTTTTACTACAACTACTAGTAGTTTTACTACAACTACTAGTAGTAAAACTCATCGCACTACTAGTTGGACTGTTGTCAAGTTAAGTAACACAGCGGAGTCACTCAGTTCCTAACTTTACACAAACCGATAAACAAATTGACCACGATTCAAGAGAAAGAGAACCAAATTGGGTCGTAACAGGAGATGGGATTATCTAATATTGGAGGAATAAAGTATCAGATTGTAAACCAGGGCATGAGCTCATAACTGCATAATATATTAGAATTAATACAGTGCTTTCATCAGAACGAGGCGTTTACGCTCGGTGCTCCGTGGTTGCGAGCACTGATGGTTACTGTTGCTTGGTTACTAAAATTACTGGTTACTAGGATTGCTGGTCACCAGGATTACTGGTTACTGTTCTTTATTCTGCCCTCTCTCTCTTAACTTGATAAATACATGATTATGTTAATCAACTTAACAATCCTATCATGACATGCTAAAGGAGATCCATAAACCAGAACCAATTTCGTATATTTTAGTCCAATATTCTTCATTTTTATTTACTAAAATACTATCTAAATCAAGCAGCAAAGTTTCACAGTTTGTACAGTCTTCACAGCAACAGCCAGTAAGATTATAGTTTGTAAGTTGATGTAACAATCCAACATTTTATATTCAGCACAATTTCTATGATTATTGAAAAGTAAAACAAACTACAACAAACAGTCTCACAAATAACGAATGTAACATAATGGGGATGCTTTATTTAGAAATTCTGTAGATAGAGTAGAATTAGAGTAGCATTTTTAGAATTAGAGTAGCATTTTAACATTTCTTATCAGTAGATGTACAGTAACACTTTACTGAGCTAATGAGCAATTTCATATCACACTTGGTTATCAGAACTTAGATACAAGGGTCTGTCAATATAAGGGTCTCATCGAGTAAGACACTTTAGTTCGTCAATATAAGGGTCTCATTGAGTAAGACACTTTAGTTCGTCAATATAAGGGTCTCATTGAGTAAGACACTTTAGTTCGTCAATATAAGGGTCTCATTGAGTAAGACACTTTAGTTCGTCAATATAAGGGTCTCATTGAGTAAGACACTTTAGTTCGTCAATATAAGGGTCTCATCGAGTAAGACACTTTAGTTCGTCAATATAAGGGTCTCATTGAGTAAGACACTTTAGTTCGTCAATATAAGGGTCTCATCAAGTAAGACACTTTAGTTCGTCAATATAAGGGTCTCATTGAGTAAGACACTTTAGTTCGTCAATATAAGGGTCTCACTAAGTAAGACACTTTAGTTCGTCAATATAAGGGTCTCATCAAGTAAGACACTTTAGTCTATATAAGTGCATGATATAGTAACTAAATAGGTATATCTTTAAGGAATGCACCTTGGTAGTGTCTATTTCGTTCTAAATTTAGCCGCTACAAAGGCCGCATGTTAATTGTTTGTAGTTATGTTAATTGTTGTAAGTTCACGGCCAAATTTAGGGGATCACGTAATGTCCCCAAAATATAAAACATAGCTGGCTACATGGCTACATGGCTACATGACATAACTCACCCTCGTTAACTTCGAACAAGTTCTCGAAACCCCCGAACCTCTGGAGCCCCCGACTAGTGCTCTGGTGAGTTGAACCATCTGATCCTCCGAAGAACAGCTCATCGTTCAGTGAGTCTGAACTGCTCATTGTACCATTAGTGGGATCCTGGGGGAGGTATTATAAATGTCAGGTCTCTCCCAATTGTACTGCTAGATGTATTTATCTTTCACCTTACACCATGTTACTAGTTGCAAGACAGTCCCTGATAAGGGCACATAATGTGACTCAGATAGCATGATATAATTGAATTGCTTTTCCGTGACATTCGCCTTTTAGTTCATTATTTTCCTCATATAAGGTGATGTTTCTGATCAGTCTTGGAAACTTCTCCCCGAAATAGAAAGACCAGGTTATCTAATTTAAGATATCTCTATAATTACCTAATAATTAAGTAATTACCTAATTACGTTTACCATCCTCACATCCCCTCTAATAACTACTGCTCGCAAACCCCTGCTTAGTGCTTAGTAGAGCGAAACAGTTAAAGCTTTATCTCACTGTCAGAAGGATAATTAATCTTGTAATTGGTTAATCTTGCTTACAACACCTACTTTATCTCACTGTCAGAAGGATAATTAATCTTGTAATTGGTTAATCTTGCTTACAACACCTACTTTATCTCACTGTCAGAAGGATAATTAATCTTGTAATTGGTTAATCTTGCTTACAACACCTACTTTATCTCACTGTCAGAAGGATAATTAATCTTGTAATTGGTTAATCTTGCTTACAACACCTACTTTATCTCACTGTCAGAAGGATAATTAATCTTGTAATTGGTTAATCTTGCTTACAACACCTACTTTATCTCACTGTCAGAAGGATAATTAATCTTATAATTGGTTAATCTTGCTTACAACACCTACTTTATCTCACTGTCAGAAGGATAATTAATCTTGTAATTGGTTAATCTTGCTTACAACACCTACTTTATCTCACTGTCAGAAGGATAATTAATCTTGTAATTGGTTAATCTTGCTTACAACACCTACTTTATCTCACTGTCAGAAGGATAATTAATCTTGTAATTGGTTAATCTTGCTTACAACACCTACTTTATCTCACTGTCAGAAGGATAATTAATCTTGTAATTGGTTAATCTTGCTTACAACACCTACTTTATCTCACTGTCAGAAGGATAATTAATCTTGTAATTGGTTAATCTTGCTTACAACACCTACTTTATCTCACTGTCAGGAGGATAATTAATCTTGTAATTGGTTAATCTTGCTTACAACACCTACTTTATCTCACTGTCAGAAGGATAATTAATCTTGTAATTGGTTAATCTTGCTTACAACATCTACTTTATCTCACTGTCAGGAGGATAATTAATCTTGTAATTGGTTAATCTTGCTTACAACACCTACTTGAACGTAATGAAATAATCTACTTTAGTACTGGCACTATAGCAGTAACTTAACAACATTTATTGTAACTTAAAGTGTAAAGAGAAGATCTGCAATAATTAAGACCAACCCAAATGTCTATCAATCCCTTATTAGGTACTCGTCTCACCAATGATCTTATTGCTCAGGATTTCAAGTTTGGTATTATACACCTCAACAACTGACGTCTTATGTTATCTAAAGGAGTTCCGTGGCAGTGCCATAGAGGCCCTTACTTAGTTCAGTGGCAGTGCCATAGAGGCCCTTACTTAGTTCCGTGACAGTGCCATAGAGGCCCTTATTTAGTTCCGTGGCAGTGCCATAGAGGCCCTTACTTAGTTCAGCGGCAGTGCCATAGAGGCCCATACTTAGTTCCGTGGCAGTGACATAGAGGCCCTTACTTAGTTCCGTGGCAGTGCCATAGAGGCCCTTACTTAGTTCCGTGACAGTGCCATAGAGGCCCATACTTAGTTCCGTGACAGTGCCATAGAGGCCCTTACTTAGTTCCGTGGCAGTGTCATAGAGGCCCTTACTTAGTTCCGTGGCATTGTCATAGAGGCCCTTACTTAGTTCCGTGACAGTGCCATAGAGGCCCATACTTAGTTCCGTGACAGTGACATAGAGGCCCTTACTTAGTTCAGTGGCAGTGCCATAGAGGCCCTTACTTAGTTCCGTGGCAGTGCCATAGAGGCCCTTACTTAGTTCAGTGGCAGTGCCATAGAGGCCCTTACTTAGTTCCGTGGCAGTGCCATAGAGGCCCTTACTTAGTTCAGTGGCATTGCCATAGAGGCCCTTACTTAGTTCCGTGGCAGTGCCATAGAGGCCCTTACTTAGTTCCGTGGCAGTGCCATAGAGGCCCTTACTTAGTGGGTGAACACGAAGTTTGCCAGGAAAATAAACTAAAAGAAGAGAGAAATACTAACCCTACTCGAAGTTCTGTAATAATCAGTCTCTTCAAAGTTAGCGCCACAATTCTCAATATCTGACTGCGAGGAAGTGAAATGGGTCCGAGTCAACTTGGGGCCAGTTATAACATCGTCATCTGCACACGTGACGTCATCAGAATTAGATATGACGTCATCAGACACTACGTCACCGTGGGATAACTTGACGTTTAAAGAGGTGTGACCCTCACTCAGGTTGGAGAGCTTTGGGGAAGTGTTTAGTTTGTTGTAGCCCGAACAGTCATCTTGATCTGGAGTACCGGATAGTATCGCTCTGAAATAGACAGGATAATTAATATAATAATATTAGTATAATAATTAACATAAATAAATATTCAGCTTAATTTGGAATATTATAGTCTTTAGTTTTGATCTATTTTGGAACACTGTTCATTAAATTATGGTAATTTATTGGCGCACACTTTGACATTTTAATAGATTGATCGGGAATTCAATAAGCGTGACGTTCGATTTTTGTTTTTCTACCGAACTTTGAGCCGTTGGTGATAGGAACTTGTGTAGATCCTCGGACAAGTGACGCAATTCTCTTGGAGGCTTGCTTAAAACATAGTTGAGATCCAACTCCTCTTTTGGGCAGGTTTAAGACATGTATCCAAGGTTCCGTTTTTTTGTGTTAGTTGCTTTCCATATGCTCATATGTGTGGTATAAAGGGGGGGGGGGGGGGTGTCATGTCCGTCTATGTCCGCCTATGTCCTGTCCTTTTTGGATTCTATGAGACAACGGACGTGTTTTTTGGGACATTGGCGGACACGGACGGACATTGGCGGACTCGGACGGACATTGGCGGACTCGGACGGACATTGTCGGACTCGGACAGACATTGGCGGACCCGGACGGACATTGGCGGACTTGGATGGACATTGGTGGACATTAGCGGACATTGGTGGACATTAGCGGACAAACATTTTGAGGACTGAAGAGTACTGAAGAGTACTGAAGAGTACTGAGGAGGATGGCTGAGAAGGATGGCTGAGGAGGATGGCTGAGGAAGATGACTGAGGAGGATGACTGAGGAGGATGACTGAGAGGGACGAGAAGGATCAGGAAGACCCAGGAGGAGGAGGAGGAGGAGGACCCAGAAGGAGGACCTAGGAGGAGGAGGAGGAGAACTGAGGAGGATGACTGAGGAGGAGGAGGACTCAGGAGGAGGACTGAGGAGGACTGAGAAGGAGGAGGACTGAGGAGTACTGAGGAGGATGGCTGAGGAGGATGGCTGAGGAGGATGGCTGAGGAGGATGACTGAGAGGGAGGAGGAGGAGGAAGAGGAGGAAGAGGACTGAGGAGGAGGAGGAGAAGGACTGATGAGGAGGACTGAGGACGAGGAGGAAGAGTAGGAGGAGGACTGAGGAGGGGAGGAGGAAGAGTACTGGGGAGGATCAGGAAGACCCAGGAGGACCCAGGAGGAGGAGGAGGAGGAGGACCCAGGAGGAGGAGGAGGACTGAGGAGGACTGAGGAGGAGGACTGACGATGACTGAGAAGGAGGAGGATTGAGGAGTACTGAGGAGGATGGCTGAGGAGGATGGCTGGGGAGGATGGCTGAGGAGGAAGACTGAGGAGGATGACTGAGAGGGAGGAGGAGGAGGACTCAGGAGGAGGACTCAGGAGGACTCAGAAGGAAGAGGAGGAGGACTCAGGAGGAGGAATTAAGAGAAATGAGAAGGAGGACTGAGGAGGAGGAGGAGGAGGAGGACTGAATAGGAGGAGGAGAAGGAGGGGGACTGGGAGAGGACTGGGGAGGAGGAGGACTGAGGACCGAGGAGGAAGAGGAGGAGGATGAAGAGGAGGAGGAGGACCCAGGAGGAGGAGGACTGAGGAGGAGGACTGAGGAGGACTGAGGAGGACTGAGGAGGACTGAGGAGGATGGCTGAGGAGGATGACTGAGAGGGAAGAGGAGGAGGAGGAGGAGGAGGACTGAGGAAGACTGAGAAGGAGGAGGAGGAGGAGGACTGAATAGGAGGAGGAGGAGGGGGACTGGGGGGAGGACTGAGGAGGAGGATGGAGGACTGAGGAGAAGGATGAGGAGGAGGACCGAGGAGGACTGAGGACTGAGGAGGAAGAGGAGGAGGATGAAGAGGAGGAGAAGGACCCAGGAGGAGGACCCAGGAGGAGGACTCAGGAGGATAAGGAGGAGGACGACTGGGGAGGAGGAGGACTGTTGAGGACTGATGAGGAGGACTGAGGACGAGGAGGAGGAGTAGGAGGACTGAGGAGGGGAGGAGGAAGAGGACTGAGGAAGATCAGGAAGACCCAGGGGGAGGAGGATGAAGAGTAGGAGGAGGAAGCATCTAAATGTTATTTCCATTTTTGTCCGTTTTTGTCCATTTTTGTCCGTTTTTGTCCGCTCTATTTTTTGTCCGTTTTGAAAATATAGGGTACCGAACGGACAAAAAACATGATCCCCCTATAACAGCAAAAATTGAACATTTTATTTAGCAATTTAGGTGTCCATTAATGTCCGCCTATGTCCGCCTATGTCCGCCTATGTCCGCCTATGTCCGTCTATGTCCGCCTATGTCCGCCTATGTCCTGTCCTTTTTGGATTCTATGAGACAAGCGGACATAGACGGACGTGACAACCCCCCCCCCCCCCCCCCCCCCCCCCCCCCTATAAAGCACATTATTTCATAATATGCCTGTTTAGTGTTTATATTGTTAAAAGAACGTTGCCTACTATTTTATCAAAATGCAAGTATGAGTTTGTCGCTCTCAATATAAAAACCATATCAAGGTAGCTCGTAAGATATGAGTGGGCTGTATTTTACGATGGAGCTAACACTCCTAATATGGTATAATTACACCAGCCTCCCATCTCTATTTCTATACCACAGGTTGATTTATCTTGAAGAACATGGAATCTTCTCGACGGAATTCAGCTTGCTAAATTTTGATGATATTTGAAAGACGATGTAATAAACAAATTGCTAAATTTTCGTGAAGCATCGAACATGAAATGTAACGTGTACTGATATATACGGGCTAGTGTAATACTGAAGAGCCGTACCGTCCATAATAACGATATCATATTTACTTAAACATTACATAACACTTCTAGTGCACTTTTACGGCGATATTTCTAGATCTGCCCGGACCAAATGTTTCATAAAGATCTGATCCTTCTTCAGCGTGACAAATTTAAGAATGCCCCGTTCTAAGGCTTCTTTGGCAGTCGACGAAAAGTGAGTAGTTCTACACTAGTTTTATACTTGCAGTGATGATTCGTACTAATAGTGGCCCAGGATCGTACGTGTCACTACAGTTTCTGTTGATATCTTAACATTTACAACGTGTCATCATAACTAGGCTATAATATCCATATAATGGATATTGGCCCTTGGGATGGGGAATTCAGATGAGAAGATGGGTGATGGGGTTGATTTTTTACTGTATTTTTTTAAACACATAAGATATGTCTCTCAAATAATAATAAGATGTGACCGTATTAATAGTGGTCAACGAACAGCAATAATAACAAGCTAGCCCAATAGTACAGTAATACGTCGTTTGGCAGGATCACTGGATCGGTTTCTTATTCAGACACCCAGACCGTGAACTAAACAATTCCGCTGATTTTCAGTGCCATGAATCCTGATTCAGGATAACGACAAAAGAATACTGATAGTGACTATTATTATATATCAAGACTGGAGACTTGAAGGACGGTGGGGATTTTTGCAGGCTTTACTACTTCTAGTTTTCCCCTGCGATTAAGTCACCAAGTGAGATGATGTTTTGATATGGTTGCCAGAAATATTTAATCTTCATCTAACATAAGTGCAGCTATAACTCGAATTAATGTGATAGTTGTATGAGTTACATATTGCCCATCTCTATTTCTTGTAACTAAAGAATCAAAATTAAAAAACAGAGTACAGTACCTCTCCAGGTAACCAGGTAACCAGGTAACCAGGTAACCAGGTAACCAGGTAACCAGGTAACCAGGTAACCAGGTAACCAGGTAACCAGGTAACCAGGTAACCAGGTAACCAGGTAACCAGGTAACCAGGTAACCAGGTAACCAGGTAACCAGGTAACCAGGTAACCAGGTAACCAGGTAACCAGGTAACCAGGTAACCAGGTAACCAGGTAACCAGGTAACCAGGTAATCATGATTTAAAAACAGAGTACAGTACCTCTCCAGAAAATCAGTCTTATCCTCCAGAGGTATTTCTTTAGCTTGGAGATGTTTCTCCGCTGACGTTGAAAAGTTAGCTAATATCTGAGGAAGGTGCTGATTAGGAGAGCGCATTGTAAATGATAAACTGAGTGGTAGAAATAAGGGAACTGAACCAACACAGTGAGCTGTAATTTCAGGGTTTAAAACTTCTGCACAAGTTGAATTTAAGGCAAACCCATCAACAACAATAAAATCAGTGCAGTTTTTAGGTCAACAGCTCAAACAAAACTCGAATGTAACTTCACGATGTTTTTTTCGTATGTATTCGAGGCTTAAAACAGAGGTTTTGGTTTAAGGTAAGTGTTTGTGTGTAAACATATGAAAGATGGAAGCACATTAATTGGGCAGGTTTTAACAAATAAGATAAGTTACTTCTGGTTCCAGCATTGGTGAGACAGCCCCTGATATCATGAAATAGTTGTCTTCAAACACGTGATCGTGATCTCTGTTCTTCCTGCAGGTGAGAGAGTGCTGTTTATCTATTTCGTAAAATCAAATAAATGGGAAATTCAGCAATTACAAAGTTTGCTGTATCAGTACTATACGAAAATAAAACGTACATGTCTTCAATGAACTTTGTTTCCTTGGTATCGTTAAGCTCCACTATTTGGTTATTGAGGTAGCACACTTCCTCACAAAGCTTTGTTATCAACTCGTCTTTTCTGAACGAGCTGTGTACAGTCAATATTTGGAATCAAATAACTCAACAAATGTCAAATAGTTAATTCAGTTCAGGTACCATGATCTTTTAATGATTTCATGTATTTCAGTTTGAAAATGTGACAAGTTTATTGAAATAATCAGGACTGACATTTTTATAACAGTAATAAGAGCAAGGTGACTAAAAATGAGTAAAACACAGTACAACACAATATGGAAATATCTTACCTATGAACCACAGATTTGTCATTCCCATTTAGCTTTGGCGGAGCTGTTATGGGCCTAGGTGGCATATCCTCAATCGTTACAGTGTTTTGTTGGAAACTCTCAAATTTCTGGATTATGTTTGCTATTGTATCTGAGTGATTTTTCTCCTCGTTCATTACCTATTGAATATTAATTGGATTTGAAACATTACCAAAAGAAGATATTTTACAATAGCATTTGGAACCAATATTTTATTGAATTTTGTACAAAATTTGGTAATATCTCAATGTTATCTAATAACATCCATGTAGAGTTCGAATTCTTGTACTGGTTTGGCAAAAACAATGGCAAATCAGTAATTGACACTTAATTAACACCTAAATAATAAATATCTATGTTGTATATCATTGGTTTGATGAAACATTTCAAATTGTGAATGTTTATAAGCAACATTATGCATCTTATTAACAACATAAAATTATCTCAATAGCTTATTATTAATGGAAAAAAATACTCTTAATTAACACTGTTCAAGTGTTCATACAGAACTATGAAATAATGAACCCATGTATCAACAGATGCCTCGTATCTGAATAACATGACCTGATGTGGAACGGCCTACTACACACCTATAATATGTCTTTCCAGGCTGTAAAGCTTTAGTTTAATCGATCACATTCCTTGTGGTAGACACCACGCATCTACTTATCTCAAAATATCTTATACTATTATATAAACAGTCCAGCTTCTGTTTCTACTACTTCTTATGGGTAACCAATAACCATGGGGATTGTGAAATCAAGAAGTCCTGAATGTGGGCCTCTCCTTCTTATGAGGGATTGTACCAGCTCTTATTTGCTAGAAGGGACTTTTCAATTCAATACAAACCATATTCATCCGATTCAAATCAAACCACATTCTTCCAGTACACGGATTGGTTGGCTGCGTATATATACACAGCCAACCCTGTCATGAAATGTTACCGTAGGGTGGGAACATCAGTGTCTTGTTATTTGAGTTCACATGATAAATTCATAAATAGATGTTAGAGTAATAAGTTAATTAATAAATCTTAAAAACATGGTCAGCAAACTGTTATGAGTATCAGCTCATAAACTTGAAAAAGAAACGAATTTCAATAAGATGATATCCACAATAAGGTACTGCAGCTCAATTAATTCTGAAAGAGCGTTTTTCCAAAGAATAATTTCATTTCAACCATCATTTCAATGAGCAGTTTAGGGAAAGCCGAGCCAAAGCTTGACGGCATAATTATATACCTACATTAAGGTTTTAGATGATATATGGCCTAAAGAAACATCTCCATACAATTCGTAATTCAAGCACTAGTGCTTGTCCTATGTGCTGCGACGAAGAGGAGACTGTCTCGCACTTTCTAGGACAGTGTTCGGCTATTGCCCAAATAAGAGGGCTATATTTCCAGGACTTTTAAAAAAATCAAAATCAAAATATAATGACACAAACATCATCACACATCATCAAAAATAAATCTACTAAAGTTAAAAAATTATCTTAAATCTATTGGCCTGGACAACCAAGTTAAAATGAATCTAATTTACATACTTTCCACTACTATATAAGTTGATAAAGCGTTTTTTAGCAACACTATTACCTCTCCATCGATAATATACAACACATCTCCATTATTGTCAACTTCGCAAACCGCACCAAACACGTTATTGTGCCCGAGGAGCTGGACTGTAGACCAGACCGGTGTGACATAACGACTACCCAATACTCTTGTTTTGTCAACTTTTTCTTCCACAGTCCAAACCCAGCTGGTGCTTAAGCGTTCATTTAAGACATATCTCCCCTCATAACACTTACCATCATCCTCCATTATTGATTATACATTTTGATTCCTTCGGCATCCTCCCATAGGACTGCCATAGCCCTAGAAGTAGGCAAAGCATCCACATACTATCCTTTCGTGGGCCAACCATACCCAGCCTCTCCAAAAATGTATAATTATAATTACAATTAAATTGAGCCGCGCGCTGATCGCTGTAAAGAATTGACATCTTTTATAAACGGTGAAATGACAGGCCACAGGCTGAGCGCCGCGCAGCAGTTTAACGGGTGATACTCGTAAAATATCTGTTCCATATATTGTCGACCGTCGGCGAGTCCAACTCGGCGCGCGTCCTGGTAGGTTGTAAACCTACAACGCAGCAATTAGCAATGGTTAGCAGCAGTTAGCAGTAGTTATCAGCAGTTCGCAGCAGTTAGCCGCAGTTCATAGCAGGAGTGAGCAGCAGTGAGCAGCAGTTTTTGTACTTTGGCCCTTCTGTGTACGTCGGTGGATGTTACTCAAATCTAAATTTTTTGAATGTTGAAGTTATAGTGCGCGCCGCATTCTTTTCGAAATATTATTGACCCGAGACAATTGTTACAAAGTAGCGTGCGCTGTTGTTGTCATACGTTGTATGACCCACCGCGCACGAAGTGCGCGGCTCCCCTCGTATCGTCAGGACGATATAGTGAAACGACCGTGGGGGTCGCAACGTGATACAACGCTGTTGACCAATGTTGATGATCTGCAGGCCAGGCCCAGCGCGGCCATAACATTTCTTGTCATACGTTGTATGACCCGCCGCGGCTTCCCCTGTATCGTCAGGACACCATAGTGAAACGACCGTGGGGGTTGCAACGTGATAAAACAACGTGATAAAACATTTCGAGAAGAAAGCGGCGCGCGCTACTTCGAAGAAATTTAGACGAGTAACATTCGTCAACGTGCGCTGGGTCAGTCGTTGAATTGCTCTAACCAGAGCACTTTCGCCTGTAGTATCGTGCGACCGCCGAAACAAGCGCGTCACGCAGTACGCGTATATGGTGGCCGAGGAGGGTCATTTTAAAAAATAAAATATAAACCATACTCACGTGGCCGAGGAGGGTCATTCGGCCGAGGAGGGTCATTTTTTAAAAATGGCCCTGCTCGGCCATGGCCGAGCAGGGCCAAACAATATGAAAAAAATGGCCCTCCTCGGCCATGGCCGAGCGGGGCCAAACAAGAAATGGCCCTCCTCGGCCATGGCCGAGCAGGGCCAAACAATATGACAAAAATGGCCCTCCTCGGCCATGGCCGAGGAGGGTCATTTTAAAAAATAAAATAAAAAACCATACTCACGTGGCCGAGGAGGGTCATTCGGCCGACGAGGAGGGTCAAAACATCGCGCGCGCAATGCGCGTCTTTTACTTCTTAACAATGTCACGCACAGCGGCTTACGTAAACAACAAGACAGCGTGGAATAAGTTTGCATAATCAATATTTCGACTCGAATTATACTATTATAGAACGGACATGTCATTGTCATCATCTTTATACTTGAAATCTTTTTTACAAAATGAAACACAGATGTAAAATAATGAATTTATAAGAGCATTATCCGAGAACCCTTAAACACTGCAATGAAACTCCGCTGAAAAATCTTTTAAGTAGGTGAGAATTTACCTACCATCGGAAAGTTCCAAAATCTGTAGCTAAATCCAAAACGTTTACAATCATACACTCCTTGCACCTTGAGATACGGAGATTGAACAGCGAGACGGAAAATAAACGATGAGACAGATATTGAACACTAGGAGTTGGACGGACATTAAATACAGAGAGAACTATTTAACACGAGATAGAGATTGAAAACTGAAAGACAGATATTAAACACTGCACAGTGAGACGGACAGTCAATACGCAGGGATACGGAGGGAAACACTGGGTCGGTCATCAAACATTGAGGGAGACGGAGAATCGAGAGAGTAAACACTGAGTGACATAAACACTGATGTGCATGATTGTTGAACTACTCAAACTCTTTCCCCATTCAAAACATCAAATAACAAATGCTGTCAGTAGCAGATTGAAAAATAACATTGCATTACTTTAAGATTAAAATTATAACCATTCTGAGCTGCGAAAGTAACATTTGATGATTTGAAAGTGAATTTCAACCCTCCAACAAACTTTAGTAAAATACACGACGTCATATGTTTCAAAAGATTGTTATATTTTAAGCTACCCTTGCTTATTTAATTAACCTCGTGCTATTTGCTAAAGAGAGAATAGCATTAGCAGATCTAGTTCACGTCTTCATATTTTCATCAAGTCTGCGTGATCTGATGTAATTCGATGAAGCCACAAATCTCACAGAGCTACAGAATTCAGTGATCGTCTACAACACCAATAAAACCTGAAAAAAATGGAAGTTATGATATACATTTTAGAAACTCCATTGCAACATATTGCAATAGATCATCTAATCCGGGGTATAGTATGATGTGAAATTTGAAAAGTATTTAATATAAAAGCAAATTGTTTATCTCGTTAGGAAAATTTATCAAATAACCATGCGAATTGTGATAGCGTGCTACGACACCGTGAATGAATAATATAGTGTTCATCGTTTACTCTCAAATCTGGATCCTAATTCTACCAGCTTCACGGAACTCAGAAAATAACTTTCCTCTGCCACTACACGAAGGCCAACGCAGTAAATTTTAATGCTAAAGATATCTTTCTTCAAGAAGCACTCTAAAATTTGGATCAGAATAATAAACAATGAACCTTATGCCAAATTATTAGACGGAGATCGTCTACTGATATTTCTCCGGAGTTTGCAGTTCCACGACCGGAGACCATCTACGGTAATTTTGTTGATACTGTATGAATTAATCTCCGAGAAATTCCCGGAGAGCTTCATCTCCGTCTAATACAGTAGACGGAGCCGGAGAATCATCTCCGGAGATGATCTACGGGAAATGGACCTCCGTCTAATAATTTGGCATAATATCCGGCCATGGAACTGGGGGGTAAACTGTTTTGGAAATATCTGTAAATTTTGAAAATGTTTTTTATAAATGATGGCAACGTCTCGACTAAGACGTTGCCACCTCGACAGTCTGTCTATTGTGTAATCAATTTTACCTAAGTTAAGTCAGAATTCACACACCATCTGTACCTCAAATAGTCCACTGGCAAAATCATTTTCTACAGAACCCATATACTGTTGAATGGACTCTTTTAATTACAGGTAAGACAGATTGTGTCTGAATTATTATCTTTTATTCAGAGACCGTGTAGACTATATAATATATATTAAGTAACTGCAATTATTTCTTGGAATCATTGCAGTTGTGTGATAAGTTCATGTTTTAACTCTTA